GGGATTGTGCAATAGGCTCAACCTTGATACTCGGCGTCTTCGGAATGTGGAAATCTTATCTAAATCTGCAGTATTTTTCCTGGTATTTCACGTTTTGAAGGCCTTGATAACAGAATTAAACTAGGAAGATGGATATCCTGGAAATCCATCAGCGTGGCAAATAATCAATAAGCAATGCTCGGAGATTTTGCCATTTATTCAGCACTAGTTTTGATTTCCGCGGCACCTTTGACCTTAACTGAAAACAGCGTCGTTGAAGGGTTGTCGAATCGCAATACATACTTGCCCGGCACTGTTGGTATACTACCGTACTCCGGTAAGCTGAAACGAGACACATGTACAGCTGAGTGAGCATTCATAATCAAACTAGTTTGTACCTTCAAGCTTGTCAAGACAATTTTCGGCCAAACTTTTACATCATTTCCAATCTCTCGTCGTACAATCTCAAATTCTACATCTCCGGTAATCACGAAGTTCCAGACAAGTCTGCCAGCTCGGTTGCACTCTCTAAATCACATCTTTTGTACATAGTAAGCATCACTGATAGTACACTTTTCACCTGACAAGTTCAACAGGCTGGTGGCTTTTCATCGTGAATGTCTCACTTGGTGGAGGTTTGGAGAATCCGTGGTCACTCCACACGTCGTCTACCTGAACAAACAATGACTAGCAAAGCCCGGGCACTTCAAGGTTATTATTGACTGAAAGTTTGATCAGCTTCTTTCATTTTGTTGACTTTATTCGATAATATACAGTAAGAAACTAACTCCTCTGTATTCAGCGCTTGTGACGGGTTTGTAAGGGCGGACGCAACTCTCTGGATGTTCTGAGTGACCGGAATCATCTCGTCGTGTACCACCGTACTCCACTGGAATTGTCTAAAACAGCGACACATCGTTTTCAGGGAGTGAAGTGCTTTTGGACCTTCATTAGTACTTTGCAGTGCACTCTTCCAAACCTCATTTTGTGCTTATTCTTACGAACAATGGGCATGCTTGCACTTCTGATTTATGAGAAGGTTTGAGAATATCTGCTGTGACTCGTATGCTGCAGTGTGTTATTGCAACTTTACGGCAATTGAGGCTATTTACAATTAGTATCATTGACAATAGATATCTCTATTATAACGCGACAATACTACCGAGGGATCTCTGCCTGCAACTCGCAGTCCTCTAGGTATTGAGATGATTCAGTTAACGACTCTTCCCGGTGAGTTCGAAGTATCCGCCCTCGCCTTTAGCTGCGACACAAGACTCCGACACACGATGACGAAAGCGACAGTGCATGGCAGTACTTTCAGATCTACCCAAGCCTTGATGAGCTCACGTCATGATGCTCCAGAACAGTAATTTTTCTTCATTCTTTTTCTTTTCTATGAAGCTGCCGCACGCGGGAAAAGCAAGTAGATCCGAGCTCTCGAATGTCTTGCTCTTGACTATTCGAATTAGGGAGGCTGCCCTCAAGGTATTCTAGCGTCGATGATATCGTTCCATTTTTGATTATGTTTTTGGCTTTCCTCAGCTTTCTCGACATTCCTTCTTAGGCTTTAACATTAGTTTTCACTTCGCCAGTTATTGATTGGGAACCTAAGTTATTGATTGGGCTTGGGAGAAAAATTGATTGCAGCAGATAGAGACGAAGAAGACAGAGTTCCTCGGAAGCGCTATTCTTATGTCAATGTTCCTCTTCTATCAATCCGATAGTCCTTTAACTGATGCTGAGTCGGTGAGAATCCCTTATTTCACCGCCAGAATTTATCGCAACATTTCTTCCACACTGTGCACGTGAATCACTTCCCTGCATCTAGTGAGCATATTCAAAGAAGGTCTCTGATCTAGGATTGTTCCATGCACATTCAGTATCTGTGGAGCCCTAAATAGGCTTTCACGATATTTCGGATACTCCCGTAAAACTGATGAAACTGAACTGACGAACTATGACTAATGAACTGCTCTTTACAATGTCAGACCGGAGGGTGAACAGTGTCTGAACGATGTCCTCATTTTTGCAGTTTCTTTTGCTGAGTGAGAGGGCCTTCCGTGAACTAACCAATTGCGATCGGTTGTCTTTCTCGCGTTGACAATGCATTCTTTCCTTCACTGACAAATCCAGCTGACAAATTGGGATACATCTCTGCTCCTGCGCAAGTTCACACATTGCTTCACAGCGGGTAAGCGCCCAATTTGAATAGTACATAAATGTCACAAAATAGTATGAACCCGCAAAAGACGAGCTTTGCAAGATTAAATTAAGGGAGTAGAGTCGACATACGATAGATCGAAAGATCTCATCGCTTGATATGGAAATGGCACCCTCCCAATGAACCAAGTACTTCCGTTTTTCATTGTGGGAAACGGCTGTCAGTGCCCGTCAAGCTCGTCTTTGCTTGTTAAACTGGTCATCACCTACTATCTTCGCTGTTATTTGATAAGATGTTTCTTTCATTGTTAAAGGCACAGTCCGCGATCAGGTATCGAAGTTGAAAATATGGCGTCAGGAGGTTAGAGTGGTCCGCGACGAACAACCTTGTA